CCTCTTCGACCTGTCTGTTTCCTCTCCACCTATCTTCTCCTCTATCCATCTTCTATCCGCCTCCCCCTCTCTCCCTATTTATTTCAGAACCCCCTTCCCCTCCCCCATTTCTGATGAAGGGTCTAGACCTGAAACGTCAGCCTTTTTGCTCCTATGATGCTGCTTGGCCTGCTGTGTTCATCCAGCTCTGCACCTTGTTGTCTCGGATTCTCCAGCATCTGCAGTTCCTACTATCTAAGAATGAGGGGAGTACTGGTTGAGCTGGTATTTCTTGCCTATCCCCACCTTGAGGTTTGGTGAGCTACCTTCTTGTTTGAGTACTTATAGCATTCACAAAACCAAAATAAAATATTCAGCAAAAGTTTCTATAAAAGTTCCAAATTTAAATCTAAAACATTTCCAGGAACCAGTCCAAAAACACTCAACTTGATGTCTCTGCACAAAAGTTTTCAAAATCTTATGTTCAAATCTCTCAGCTTGGAGATGTACATCACTTCTGTGTGTGGGATTTGACTAAATGGTTTTGCTGTTATAAATTGTTTAATTGTTAATTCATTTACTTAATTAATTTTATACAGTGATAGGTGAACCCATCTTCAGAGAAACTGAGGATATAGCAGTCATCTATAAAATCCATTAGGTAAAGATAATTGTCATATCCAGGCTGTGCTAGCTCTGCAAAGTTAAATGAAAAAGACAGACTGCAAATCTTCTTCAAATCCCTACAGTGCAGAAAGAGGCCATTTGGCCTGTTGAGTCTGTACTGACCATCTGAAGAGCATCCCACCCAGCACTAGCTCTTGATCCTATCCCCATTATCTTGCATTCATTATGGCCAATCCACCTAACCTATACATCTTGAGACTGTGGGAGCAAACCAGAGCATCTGGCGGAAACCCACGCAGACACGGAGAGAATGTGCAAACTCCACACAGTCACCCAAGCTAGAATCAAACCCAGGGCCCTGATGCTGTGAGGCAGCAGTGCTAACCACTGTGCCATTGTGCTGCCCTGTAACGGACATAGTTTTCATAAACAGACAATGATTGGGTCATACCAAAACATAAAAATTGCAAACGTTTGAAGGTTGACTGGTGGCTGCGCAGCAACTGTCTCCCAGCATTAATAATGACAGAATCATTCCCATCATACAGAAAGACCAATCCAAACTCTGCAGATATGGATGCAAGTGCAGAGGACTTGGGAACTGTTTATCATCCTACCTGCCTGGAATAGGCAAGCATCATTGTGCAGGACCAAATTGTACATCTGGAAAACAGCACAACCGTGTTCTGACATGTCAACAAATAGAAAGGGAGTCAATTCTGCAGGATTTTTAAAAAAGATCATTCACAGGGCGTGGATGTCACTGGCCAGGCCAGTATTTATTGCCCATCCCTAATACAATCCAACTGGCTTGCTGATGCCTGAACCATGAAGTGACAATCTTGGTTGGGTGTTTAGCTGCAACATTTAGATTTACCCTTTCAAATTTAAGAGGACCCATAAGACCATAAGAAGTAGGAGCAGAATTAGGTTGTTTGGCCCATTGAGTCTGTTCTGCCATTCAACCATGGCTGATATGTTTCTCAACTCCATTCTCCTGCCTTCTCCCCATAACCCTTGATCCCCTTACCAATCAAGAACCTATCTATCCCTGTCTTAAATACATTCAGTGACTTGGCTTCCACAGCCTTCTGCAGCAATGAGTTCCACAGATAAACCACCCTCGGGCTGAAGAAATTCCACCTCAACGCAGTTCTAAAGGGTTGTCCCTTCATTCTGAGGACGTTTCCCTGGGTTTTAATCTCGCCTATTACTGGAAACGTCTTCTCCATGTCCACTCTATCTGGGCCCCTCAGTATTCTGTAAGTTTCAATTAGATTTCCAACCCCGCCCCACCACATCTTCTAAACCCCATTGAGTACAGACCCAGAGTCCTCAACTTCTTGCTCATATGACAAGCCCTTCATCCCTGGGATCATTCTTGTAAATCTCCTCTGGACTCCCTCCAATGCCATTACATCCTTCCTTAGTTACAAGGCCCAAACTGCTCACAATATTCCAAATGCGATCCAACCAAAGCCTTCTACAGCCTCAGATGAACATTTCTGCTTTTGTATTCTAGCCCGCTTGAAATGAATGCTAACACGGCATTTGCCTTCCTAACTGCCAATGGAACCTGCATGTAAACCTCAAGCGATTCCTGAATTAGGACTCCCAAGTCCTTTTGAGCTTCAGATTTCCGAAGCCTTTCCCCAGTTGGAAAATAGTCTACACCTCTATTCTTCCTACCAAAGTGCATAACTTTATACTTTGCCACATTATAGCCCCATCTGCACTTCTTTGCTCACTCTCTTAGCCAGTCCAAGTCCATCTGCAGCCTTCCCGCTTCCTCAACACTACTTGTCTTTGTGTCAAACTTAACAAAAATGCCCTCAGTTCCTTTTCCAGATCGTTAATGTATAACATGAGTAGTTGTGGTCCCAACACTGACCCCTGTAGAACTCCACTAGTCACCAGCTGCCATCCTGAAAAAGAGCCCTTTATTCTTGCTGTCCATGTCAATCAGCCAATCCTCTATCCATGCCAGTACCTTGTGCCTAACACCATGGGGCCTTGTCTTATTTAGTAGCCTCCTGTGCTGCACCTTGCCAGAGACCTTCTGGAAAACCAAATAGATAATGTCCACTTGTTCTCCTTTGTCTAACTTGCTCGTTACATCCTCAAAGAATTCTAATAGATTTGTCAGGTATGACCTGCCCTGATGAAACTGTGCTGACTGAGTCCTATTTTACTGTGCACTTCCAAGTACTCTATAATCTTACCCTTAATAACGAATTCTAAAATTTTACCAACGATGGAGGTCAGGCTAACAGACCTATAGTTTCCTGTCTTTTGCCTCCCTCGCTTCTTAAACAGGGGCATTACATTACCATTTTCCAGTCCTCCACTCTCTGACTTCATTGATTCCTGAAAGATCACCACCCATGCTTCTATAATAAACTCAACTATCTCCTTCAGAATTCTGACCCATCAATTGAAAGTTGGATGGTGCCTCAATTTTTCCTGAAAATTCTATTTACATATGCGCTTCTGCCATTTATTGATTCTAGAGATGAGGCAAAGGTCACTACTGAATCCCTGTTAGTGAAGATATGTTTCTCAGACGACCTGGTCAGAAGTCCATAAGTATTATAGAAGGCCTAGTCAAATATTGCACCCAAATGTAAGGATTTTTCAGGTGATCACCTAGATACTGAAAAAAGTCATTCTTGGGCCACAATTTACATTAGCAGTGAAATTGTTGACTAATTGAATCTACTATCCTGTGTTGCCAGTTCATAAGAGGATACTGCTGCTGTCAATGTCTTCTTGAGGACTGTGTGGCAATTATTGCAGGATCAATCTCAAACCCCCAAAATGGAGGTTGGCTCCAGCAGATATTGTAATAAATGGTGAGAATCCTGTTGTGGAACATGCCACTCAACATGGCCCATTGTTCCATCCCCAACATTTTTGTCTCGGACTTTGCAACTCAGAATTTGTCCCACAATCTCACTTCATGTCACAACCCGTTGTTTAAGAACCCATGACATAAGCATTTGATGCAAATGATCGTAGAATACTTTAGAAAAAGTCTGGCACCGGAATTAGTTTAGGTTGCTTTAGCAAACAACTGATATAAAAATAATGGACCAAGTTGCTTCCATCTGTGAATCTTCTGTGATTTGAAGGTAGTTCAACTTTGTGAGACATTTGAAACAAAGACGGAAATTGCTGGAGAAACTCATCATGTGTGGCAGCATCTGCGGAGAAAAAGCAGAGTAAATGATTCAAGACCACAATGGCCTTTCTTCAGAATACAGTCCATTCTGAAGAAGGGTCACTGGACTCAAAAGAACGTTACTTCTGCTTTCTCTGCACAGATGCTGCCAGGTCTGCTGAGTTTCTCCCTGGTCAAGGCATTGAGCATAAAAGTTGGCAAGTCATGTTGCAACTGTATACAGCTTTGGTTAGGCCACGTTTGGAGTATTGTGGGGGCTTTGCAGAAAGTGCAGAAGAGGTTCACTAGGATGTTGCCTGGATTGGAGTGTATTAACTCCAATAAGGAGAGGTTGGACAAACTTGGATTGTTTTCACTAGAACATCAGAGGCTGAACAGTGATCTGATAGAAGTATGTAAAATTATGAGGGGCATGGATAGGGTAGATAGTTGGGGTCTTTTTCCCAGGGTCAAAATGTCAAATACGAGGAGGCATAGAGTCATTGAGTTAACAGCACAGAAACAGATGCTTCGGTCCAAGTTGTCTATGCTGAACCAGATATCATAAATTCATCTAGTCCCATTTGCCAGCATTTGGCCCCAATTCCTCTAAACCCTTCCTATTCATATACCCTTCCAGATGCCTTTTTAATGTTGAGATTGTACCAGCGTCCACCACTTCCTCTGGCAGCTCATTGCATACACGCAACACGTTCTGCGTGAAAACATTGTCTCTTGGGTCCCGTTCAAATATTTTTCTTAATTTCTTAATCCCTCTCACCTTAAACCTATGCCATCTGGTTTTGGACACCCCCACTCCAGGGAAAAGATCTTGGCTGTTCACCCTATCCATTCCCCTCATTATGTTTAAACCTCTATAAAGTCACCCCTTAGCCTCCGATGCTCCAGGGAAAATAGCAGCCTATATTCAGCATCTCCCTGTAGCTCAAACCCTCCAACTCTGGCAACATCCTTGTAAAATTTTTCTGAACCTTTTGCAGTTTCAATATTCTTCTGTAGCAGGGAGACCAGAATTGCTCGCAGTATTCCAAAAGGACCCTAACCAATATCCTGTACAGCCGCAACATAACCTTCCAACTCCTATACTCAATGCACTGACCAATAAAGTCAAGCATACCAAATGCCCTCTCCACTCACCTGTCTCGGGACTCGACTTTCAAGGAACTATGAACTTGCACTCCAAGTCTCTTTTTACAGCAACGCTCCCCGGACCTTACCATGAAGTCCTGCCCATATTTGCCTTTCCAAAATGCAGCACCTCACATTTATCTAAATTAAACTCCATCTGCCACTTCTCTGCCCCTTGGCGCATGTGATCAAGGTCCCATTGTACTCTGACCTAACCTTCTTTGCTGTCCACTACACCTCGAATTTTGGTGTCATCTGCAAACTTACTAACCATACATCCCATGTTCACATCCAAGTCATTTATATAAATGATAAAAAGTGGTGGACCCAGCACTGATCCTTGTGGTAGATCACTGATCGCAGGCTTCCAGTCTGAAAAGCAACCCTCCACCACTACACTCTATCTTCTACCTTCGAGCCAGTTCTGTATCCCAAATAGCTAGTTTTCCCTGTATTCCATGTGATCTAACCTTGCTAACCAGTTTACCATGAGGAACCTTGTCAAATGCCTTACTGAAGTCCATATAGATCACGTCCGCCGCTCTGCCCTCATCAATCCTCTTCGTTACTTCTTCAAAAAACTAAATCAAGTCAGTGAGACACGATTTCCCAAAGCCATGTTGACTGTTCGTAATCAGTCCTTGCCTTTCCAAATACATGTAAATCCTGTCCCTCAAGATTCCGTCCAACAACTTGTCCACTACTGATGTCAGGTTCACCAGTCTATAGTTCCCTGGCTTTTCTTTACCATCTTTCTTAATGAGTGATACCATGTGAGTCCACCTCCAGTCTTCTGGCACCTCACCTGCGGCTATCAGTAATACAAATATCTCAGTAAGGGGCCCAGCAATCACTTCCCTAGCTTCCCACAAAGTTTTAGGGTACACCTGATCATGTCCCGGGAATTTATCCATCTTTATGTGTTTTAAGACGTCCAGCACCACCTTCTGTGTAATATAGACATGTTTCAAGATGCCGCTGTTTATTTTCCCATGTTCTCTATCTTCCGTATCCTTCTCCACAGTGAACACTGATGCAACGTACTCGTTTAGTATCTCCCCCATCTCCTGCAGTTCCACACCTAGGCAGCCATGCTGATCTTTAAGCGGCCTTATTCTCTCCCTTGTTACTCTTTGGTCCTTAATATATTTGTAGAATCCGTTAAGATTCTCCTTAACCCTATTTGCCAAAGTTATCTCATGTTCTGTGTTTGCCCTTCCGATTTCCCTCTTAAGCATACTCGTACTGCCTTTATACTCTTCTAGGGATTCACTCGATCCCTGCAGCCTGTACCTGACATATGCTTCCTTCTTATTCTTGACCAAAACCTCAATTTCTCTCATCACCCAGCATTCCCTATACCTGCCGGCCTTGCCTTTCACCCTAACAGGAACATGCTGTCTCTGGATTCTTGTTATCTCATTTTTGAAGGCTTCCCATTTTCTAGCCGTCCCTTTATCTGCGAATATCAGCCTCCAATCAACTTTTGAAAGTTCTTGCCTAATACTCTCAAAATTGGCCTTCCTCCAATTTAGAACTTTAAATTTTAGATCTGGTCTGTCCTTTTCCATCACTATTTTAAAACTAATAAAATTATGGTCACTGGCCCAAAGTGCTCCCCCACTGACACCTCTGTCACCAAACCTGCCTTATTTCTCAAGAGTAGGACAAGTTTCGCACCTTCACCAGTAGGAACTTCCACATACTGAATCAGAAAATTTTCTTGTACATACTTAACAAATTCCTTTCTATCCAAGCCTTTAACACTATTGCAGTCCCGATCCATGTATGGAAAGTTGAAACCCTCACCACAACCACCCTATTATTCTTACAGTTAACTGAGATCTCCTTACAAATTTGTTTCTCAATTTTCTGCTGACTATTAGGGGTGTCTATAGTACAATCCCAATAAGGTGATTATCTCTTTCTTATTTCTCAGTTCCACCCAAATAACTTCCCTGGACGTATTCCCAGGAATATCCTCCCTATAATGTTATCCCTCAGCAAAAACGCCACTCCCCCTCCCCTCTTGCCCCCCTTTCTATCCTTTCTATAGCATCTATACCCTGGAACATTAAGCTGCCAGTCCTGCCATCCCTGAGTCACAACTCTGTAGTCACTATGATATCCAGGTCCCATGTTCCCAACCATGCCCGGAGTTCATCTGCCTTATCTGTTAGGCCTCTTGCATTGAAATAAATGCAGTTTAATTTATCAGTCCTGCCTCATTCTCTGCTTTGTTCCTGCCTGCCCTGGCTGTTTGACTTGCTGCTTTTCCCAACTGTACCAGTCTCAGACTGATCTCTTTCTCACTGTCTCCCTGGGTCCCCACCCCCATACCAGATTAAATCCACCCAAGCAGCTCTAGCAAGTCTCCCTGCCAGTATATTAGTCCCCTTCCAATTCAGGTGCAATTCTTCTTTCTTATACAGGTCATTTCTACCCCAGAAGGTTTAAGGTGAGAGAGAAAAAGTTTAAAGGAGTTATGCGAGGAAGTTTTTTTAGACAAGGTAGTTGGTACTGTCAAGGCAGGTGGGAGAAACAGATACGGTGGCAAAGTTTAAGAGGTATTTAGTCAGACACACAAACAGGCAGAGAATAGAAGGATATGGACTATGTGCAGGCAGATGCGATTAATTTAGAATAGCATCATGGTTAGCACAGCTGTGGTGGGCTAAAGGGCCTGTTCGAGTGCTGTATTGTTCTATGATTCTATGATAGGCAAGTACCCTAATTCATAAAATAAAATGGTATAGAGGTTCTCATGGTAAGCCTAGGCTAATGCTCTAAGAACATGGACTTGGCTCCACCACAGCTGCTGGTAGAAAATAAATACAGGTCATTTTTAAAAATCTGGAATTTAGAGCTCATTGTCTTGACCATGAAACTTTCATCAGTTATTGTAAAAACTAAAGGTTCAGTAACGTCTGTGTGTTAAGGAAGTCTGCTGGCCTGACCTACCTGTGATTCTAAATCCACGTCAATGTGATTAGCTCAGAAGTGCTGTTAAAGGCAATTGGAGTGAGAAATTAATGCGATGCTCTTATCCCATTGAAAGAATTTTTAAAATGAATTGAAAGTACAGCACCATGACAAATTACCCTATAATTTAGAGACAAACACTGAATTTTAGGGAGAATAACAAGCTTTCACAATGTGAAAAGCTGGTATTTTTCTTTGTATTAACATTCTGATGGTTGAGTCCATGTTTGTATATCATGTGGAGTACAGTAAGCCAGTTAGATATTCAGAATAAAAATAAAATACTGGAAATCTGAAATAAAAACAAAAAACGGTCTGAAGAAACATAGTACATCTAGCTGCATCTAGTCCCCTAATCCACATCTAGTCCAATTATCCTCTTCCTTGGGACCCATTAGTAATACTTAGGAGCAGATATTTCTTAACTAGGAAGGCAGCACACCCAAAATGCTGCATCTCTTATCATGTGATTTGAGCTACAACTGCAAGAATGGTCTTTGCTAAATTTGCTAAGGTTGTCATGGCCACGAGTCAAAATCCTGAAGTACTGTATACAGTTTTAGACGTTAATTCCGAAATGTGTGTTTTGAAAGAGACAAAGCAGAGTTAACATGTCGAGTCCAGTATGACTGGACTGGAAACATTAACTGTGCTTTCTCCACAAATGCTGCCAGACCTACTGAATTTCTCCAGCAATTTCTATTTTCATTTCAGATCTTTAGCATCAGGAGTTCTTTGTTTTATTTCAGTTCTGCTGGGTGGACTAGGGAATTAAATGCTCTTACATGTGCCAGCCTGCTTTTGAGCATGAGTGTACTGTGAAAGCCATAGTTAAATAACTGGTTACCTGTATGTTGTGGAAGACCTTCTCTCACTCAGAGCTGCAAACCAGTTAAAAAGGGAAGCAGGATAAAGGACTTCAATCAGCCTACAAAACCAAGAATCTCAAAAATCTTCTGTTCAGCTGCCAACGTCAGCGCTACTGGTAATCTCCACAGCAACAGCCACAACATTCAATTACCACTCTTCAATGAACACTTCAGAGACTGATCCATATATCTGTTAACTTTTAGCTTTGTGGATTTACCTCTTATTTCTAATCTATACGTAAGTGTGTTGTGTTGTGTTACTAATTCTTGTTTTGCTTAGTAATTAATTAACACAACTCCTTTTGTAAATTCAAGAAAGCCTGGTTAAACTGGCTGTTTTTCAAAATACAAGTTCATTTGTGTCTAGGAGAAAGGCATCAACAAGGGAAAAATCTTGTTGTGACCAGCTGAGGAGTTAGGTGAATAAAGAAGAGGAGTGAGTTCATCCCTCTGCACCTGGGAGCATCACAGCTGAAGTATCTCATCTAAAACCATCACAAATTGGGGAATTGCATCCAGAACCTGGTCATAACAAGGCTGAGACCAAGCCAGGGACTCAGCACAGTTATTTTCCATCGCTAGGATCTCGATACAAATCCCTTACGTACTTGTGGAGAGACATAAATAATGCTGCTTGTTGCTGAGGGGTGCCAACTCTACAGACTAAGTGGCAGAGACATCATTTTAAATTTAGCAACAGGAAGGTTATCACTTGGCTTTGGGGATTTACATTCACTAAATCAATAGATAAATAAACATTTTATCATAAATAAAGAAGTTATCTAGCCTTAATTGCTGCTTGATCTCTGAACCTGTCAATGATGTGCGTGGAATGAAAAGTTGGCACAACCTAGCACATTCTTACCGACATGAATGTTTACATGAGAATTAGGAGACAGAATCTTCCCAGCCCATGATTGATGTGGGCATTGGCAAGAAATCTGGGAGAACTGCATGAGATTTGCAGTGAGGAGATTCCTGTCATCAAGAGAAAAAGTCCCATTTTCCAAACAAGTGTTGAAGGCCAAGACAAACCTCTCGCTAGTGAAAAGCAAGAGGCCTGTTTGCATGTATTGACATCCTCATTATTTTATCATCTTGCCTCAGTGATACACATTTTCCCATTCCCATACCCGTTAAATAGAAATTGGATGGCGACAATTCCCAACATGAAATTCAGAGCAGTAACCTGGCAGCTTCAGCTCACCACTGCTTCCTCGCTGTTTCCAGATTTTTGAATT